CTCTCCCCCCACCTGTATACCTAGCAGGAGCGCAAGCTCATCTAGCGACAGGGGACCAGGTATCGGCGCATACCAGGCTGTGAGGACCATGCTTTGCTGATACTAGCATAGCACACGCTTTCAGAACTTTTAGTTTATTACACACTGATGATTGCATGAAGATTGGCTGTCAACTGGAAGGCCACTTCTAGTTTGACCCCCACTGGTTCTCTCGTAGGTCCTCGTTCGCGCCCTAGGATTCTCCATGTAGATGCAGAGTAATGGTTATTGTGCGCTGGATATCCTCCCCCCAGGTTGGTAACATCCAAGGGGCCTTAGCGGTCAGGTAGCGAAGATGAACGGTGCAAAAACGCTGCAGTCACAATTCAATGCAGAATTAACTGCATTCATTCACACATCCTTGCCCATTGTTGTGGGCAAAAAACAGAAGCGAGAGAAAGCTTATTATCCGAACATAAGTACAAACTCCTGGTTTGCTTTAAGTAATTTTTTGCTCGATGGGAATCCGCTTGACGATGAAAGAATTACGCCATCCTTGAGGGGTAACCTATGTCTGTCAGTTAACGAAGTTCAGAAGACGAAGATGCAATCACTGGAAGTTACGAAGTTAATTAAGTGCTGGGAGGACCGACAGTGCTAGATTCCAGACTGCAAACCGACGATATGTCTGAAGGTAATTGCCTTCCTTAGAACTTGGGTAGTGGCAAGTAAATACGGTCAGCAGCGGATTGTCAAAGCTCATATGCTTGGAGTGGAAGTTTAGGAGATTAAATTGGTTAAATTGGAGCAGCTCGCTTCGGGTGAATTGACGGACGTCCTTATAACGATTTATCCCAGAGCTTTGGTAATGGAGGTTTTTAAAGAACAGTTTAAAGGTGACTGTTACAACTGTTTCCTTTCCTCGTGACCCCGACCACTTAGGGATGAAAACTGTTTGTGGGCGCGTCGGCTTAAAAGAACTTACTTCATATGCTGCAGGTGTTTATATACGGACAATGAAGCTACGTATGATTCGAGAACAAATAGGATTATGCAATGAAACTGAAAAAAAAGATTTATTTAACTCTCGGATAAGTCGTCTATCATTAGTAATTTAAATCTTTTCGAATAAAACACAGGCCTGAAATAACACTAAAACCGCATTCCTATATGTTTTTTTCAGAACACCCGGAAGTTACTGAAGAAGGCTACATGCGGAAGTATGGATGTTTTTGCATTTTTCCGAGCGTAATTCCTAAAAGGTATTAGCTAAACACATTTGAAGGCACACATGAGAATGTTCAATTTAAAAATTCACCCCACAACATTCTCTAAGGGTTTTCTGCAAATACCGCGCTCTTATTAACACACACACTATTTCGTCCGGATCTAATGGACGAACTTGGAGTTCAGTTACCGAAAAGGGATCTACCCATCCTGCCTTTAATTTGTCTATGGATGTTTTAACCTGATAGTATTCGATTATACAGGGAACTTTATGTAGTCAACCGAAATTGCATTTGTTAGAAAGCCATGCTACTTTTCTCCAAACCACGTGCGTCGTGCAATTGCAGAAGACTGTCGAACACCTGTCTGAACTTTTAGCTGAGAATAGGCCTTTTTGTGTGAACCACATACGAACTCAGGCCCTTTTTCGCCGAATCGGATAACCTTTAAATCGGGTTCAAGTGAGACTCCGAAACGTCAGGTAAATAAAGTTCTTATTACAGCGGTCGCTTCTTCTTCTTCTTCTTCTTCTTCTTCTTCTTCTTCTTCTTCTTCTTCTTTTTCTCCTTCCTCTTCTTCTTCTTCTTCTTCTTATTAACTAGTTCCTGGAGCTCAGATCTTCGCCTGCATCGGCAAATCAAAGATTTATGCAAAATTATGTGGGCAGACGTGACAAGTTCAAGTTTGATGATCTAAATCCATGTACACTAAAAATACTAAAGTTCAAACGTTTCGTTCAAAAGCTGATAGCAAGAAGTAAAGAAGCTCAGATGGTTAGAGAGTTGACTGTACTAAAGCCTATCCTTGCTATCGTGAGTTCCAATCCCACTAAGGCACCGAGTTTTTCACAGTTAGGCCAAAGTTAATTATTTGAAATCTGTCAAAACGCCTCCAAAATTACGTGTTCTGGCAACCTGGTATTCGGAGCAACAAGCATTTTTCTAGCATAATAGGATTTTAGTGACTTTTGTCATCTGAAAAGTACGACCCGCATATTTGCATGTTCATATGAATAATTTTGTAAATTTCATTATGTGTAAAAGCTCACAAAATTCTATAAGGTATTTTGAATGGTTCGCATGCTTTGCGGGCTGGGAGAAGAAACCTACGTAAATTGGACGGCAGGCATGTTTAAGCACGACCACCATCACTCTTAATTGTGATTTTTGCGAGACTAAGTTTTCCATGTCGAGAACAAGGGCAGTAAACGAGTTACAAATTATTTATTTTTAATGCGTTTGCATATCCTAAATATGTACTATAAAAAATAAACCATGCTGTACGATTTCAGCAATTATAGCCTTATTAAGGCTACCATAGTTGGTTTAAAATAGTGTAAGCGGCAGACCTACGTGCCCGGTGCAGGGTACAGTACATGACCTTTCTCATGAAGCCTAATGACAGAGTCTGATGTCAAAATTTTTGGACGTCCTAAACGTTGAGCATTTTGCCCACTCGTCCAGTCTCTTAGGGGAATGCCCTTTTCTGGTGCAGACAATATGGTAACCATCGGGAGATGGCACCCAAAAAAAATCCGCCTAACCAAGACAGCCTGTCTTATGGGACAGGTGGCAATAGGGGTTTTATGGGTGGTGGCTGGTCGAGATGTACGATACTAGCCGACAGAAAGCCTTATTTGAACAGGTGAATGATCGACGTTGGCTCGCTCTCCGTTCCGTTTTTACAAAATGGGTCGCCAAATGCAGTATAGTGGTAACGGACGAGTGGAAGGCGTATAATCGTCTTCCCTCAGAAGGTTATCTAAATTTCTCTGTTAACCACTCAAAGAACTTCAAGGTCCCTACCACCAGACGGCACACCAATGCCATTGAGGCATACTGGAGTAGACTGAAAAGGAAACTCCACGAGGGAGGCCCTGTATGTGGTCCATCTGCGTGGACTCACATAGACGAAGTACAGTATCGTCTTTGGTTTGGCCTCAATACCATGTCTTGGACAGATGCCTGGGAACTGTTCCTGTCCCATGTTGTGCAGACCTATCCTATTTACAAGTGTTTTTGTTTTGTAATGAACTGCCATAATGCGAATGTATGCCATATATTCAGGTGTACGTGTGTAAAGATTGGGAAGGTTGGGTAACAGCGACCATTGTCCATGTAACCTCCTGAGACGTTCGTTAGGCCAGCCCATGCTAGGCCGTCGCGAAAGTCCAAGGAGTGCGTGAAAGTAGGCCTGCAACCGCTGATATAGCCTGAAGGCGTTTGGGTCCATTGTTAAAGGTATTATTTCTAGGTAACGGAATTTTTTTGGGTGCCATCTCCCGATTGTTACCGAAAATATGTGTGCATAATTTTGTCAAGCAAAATGTTCATAAATTTGAGCAAAAATGGACAATTGCCCATGCTAACACCTGGCATAGACTTCGGTCGCGCATCTGAGCGTGTTGCTTTTTTGACAAGAGAGGAATTCGCTTTTGAGAGTTTTACTAAACAGAACTAGCCGTGCTTTAAAATTGATTTTTGTTAAATGCCAATCGTAGAAATAGGCTTGCTTACACAGGTTATTTTAAGAGAAGCAGACCTTATTGACTTCTAGAAGTCAGCTTGACAGATCTGTGCGATTTCGTGCCACAGAAGTGCAGTAATAACGTACACGGGCAGTCTTTCGTCTAAATGGACCGGAAGTGTTATCCCGCTTGGGAAATTATATCGATTGTCGAAGAAAGGATTACTACCAAATAGCGATTTTCAGGTTAAGAGTATGAAACATTATTTTTCGTGCTGTCCGGTTTCTGAATATTGTAATTTGGTAATGGGACGGGCGAATCGTTAACAGTTTCAGAAAAATACCAGTGTTTATATGGTCACTCTGCCGTGCATTCATAATCGTAGAACGCAGCCTGAAAGTGAACATGCATGGCGAAAATAGATGCAATATGATAGTTTAACCGACGTATCCGATGCCTAGCGTGTGCTCGGAGCAAGGTGAAGTAGACACGGTGACTTGCGCATGAATTATTTTATAGTGCGAGTAGACTTGCGCAGCATCTACCTCACTCCATCCTCCTCCCCACCTAGGTCCGCTGTCGAGACAGAGTTAAGACAATCGAAGACAGGAGGGCGCAGCTGGGTGGCGCAGCCGAACCCGTACCCTGGCGCCCTACTCCGGGCCCCCTGGTCCATAACGAAAACTTGACCAGGATTTTGACCAAAAGCAACAACAACAGGAAGAACGTGAATCACTGGACAACCATACACACGACCTGTATACCCAGCGGGAGCGCAAGCGCATCTGCCTTCAGTGAACCAGGTATTGGAGAACTGGCAACGCACATCAAACTGCGAGCGCCATGATTTGCTGATCATGGCATAGCAGACGTTTACAAACCTTAGGGCCCAGACGCAATATAAAGAGAAAAGCATTTTCTTCCCTTTTCGGTAGAAAAATGTTAGTATTTTTTAAGCAAGGTGAAAGGAGCCGCCGAAAGTGTCAATTCTTTCTTGGCTTCATCGTACGAAAATGCAAAGTGCACAGAAATCCGTCAACGGAATGCAGTATTAAAACACTTCTTAAAAAGCTAACTTACTAGAGAAAGTTTTCTAATTGATCGAAGGCATATTCGTTGTTGGCTATTGTTGTGGACTTTCATTTTATTCCGCGATGGTGTTTCATGCTCTGCTGAATCTTTAAATGTAACTCAAGCGATCTTCTACATAAAGGAGAACGCCGAACATTCGCTACTTCGGTAAATGCCTTCAAGAAGTATCTTATTTTTAAGGTTATAAAACATAATAGACGACCTGCCTTTGCTTACAATCCATTTAAAACTATGAAAATCATGAAGTATTCGGCGATATCTCAAGACCAATCTAAAACTCAACGTAACTCAGAAAAAGGAAAAAGTGCACATTAATTTCACGGAAAAAGGTTTCATTATATAGGCAGATGGTATGTTTTAGAATACACCTGTCGATTCTACTTAAATTTACTAGTCACTGACCCACCTGTTAACATGTACCTTTGTGGCAACTTTTGCTGCTATGACTTCTCTGTCGGTGAAATCAAGTAAGATCCTGTTTGCCTTATTGAACAGCATCTCAATCAACCCAAAGGATAAAGGAAACCACGAATCCTTGGAGAACTGTTGTGGAATCTATACTCAGAATGCAGGCTGTTAGCAAACCGACATACCTGAAATTACACAAAATCAAGGAGGATATTAAAACGCAAACTTCGCTTAAAGATCATTTTCAGAGATTATTCTGTTCGTGCTGTCACATTTAGCCAGTGTTTTGCACGGACAGTTTTTCTATACATTGAAAACTGAAGTTTGCACAACTGCAACTATTTCTGACGCTTTCGGAATTTTCCGCCTTTCTGAAAAAAATAGGTAATTCTAAACAGTGTAAAACTACCTTTAACTTTCCTTTTATATTTTTAATTGCCTTTAAGTTGCTGTTCCTTAACATAGATATTGGGTCCACGAATTGGTGTTGGTTTGTGAGTGGTAAGCAGTCATTTGTAAATTTTGACATTCTTCATGAGTTAGGGCACGCACTGTAGCGTTTATCAATATTGGGACCGTACATATGCAAAGGTTGGTCAGTGTGCCGAGTTTTCGCAAATTCTGAATTCCTAGGGACGCTGAGCTATGATGGGCAGACATATCAAGCAAACTCTGCACACCTGATAACTCTTCCACCTCCAGCACTTCCACTCCCCCAGCCACCAACGCCGTCACCACTGGCAGCACCGGCCACCACAACAACGGACTCAGCACCTCCCAACCCCTTCCACCAGACCTTTAACCCGCGCATCGGCCCCGTAGGTCACTTTCGAATCTGTCGCACACAGGCTGGTAAACCAGTGTCTGGAACACCAGCATATAGTCATCGTTATCGTCTTAATCGTCCGAACTTCCTTCTCACGTCTAGCCACTGCATGGGCCCGGTCGGTAACATGCACCTCCATGAAAATCTGCGCTGAATCACTGCAGATTAGGTGAAGTCACTAGGCAGTTCCCCATCAACACATGAGTCGCACATGAACACTTGCAGCATCACATACCACAGGCACGAACTGGGCACCTCACGTATTTGCGTAGTGTTTTTCGGCTCCTTTATCCACTTGGTGCCTATGTCGCATGCAAGATTCGAGCGGCCTATCCCCTTTGCGTGAAATCTTGGTGTTTGCGTGATCGTACGTGTGGCACGTGGAGCTACGCCACTTTCGATTCTGCAAGTCACCTCTCCCAACCTCAGCATCATTTGGTTGAACGGCCCGGGCAATCGACTGGTGCACAGAAAGGGAAAGAAGGAGAGGAGTCGACTCTCAGCGCATATTTCTCACTATAAACGATCTGATGCGTTTGAGTCTATCACGGTCTGGAGGGTTGTTAGCTGACGATTCAACTCAGACTTCGCAGTCAGCTCAGTGTGTGTTTATGAATTGAGTGACATACTGGTGGAGTGAGAGTCGGGCTGCAACGGCAACTTCTTTATGAGGCTTTTATGGCACTCCCACTCAGTTTGAATTCAACCTATCCTCCCTTCCTTTCTGTGTAAAATCCTGGTCGTTTGTTCGTTGACCAGGGAGTACATCTAGGTGCGGGTTCCCGCCGCGCCAGATACCTGTGCCTTCTCCTGCTGCCGATCTTCTTGACTGTGTCTTGACACCGGGTCCAGGTCGGGGGGGGGGGGGAGGAGAAAGTGCGGTAGATGCTGCGGAAGTCTACTATCATTGTAAACCAATTCACGCACATAGCACCGTCTCTGCGCCCGCCCTGTTGTGGGACACACGGCAGAAATCATCAGAAACGACGGTCAAACTGTCATGTGGTTGGTGATTTTTCGTTAAATTCGTAATAATTCATGAATTAGGTCACCAAATTTAGGTCATGTAGACTAGCAACAGACGGAACTACATATCGAAAATTGCTTCGACTATTACTTCTGTCACCTTAAATGCGTCTGAACATTAGCAAGGAATACCTGTTTTAGTCCTTTCCCATATAAACCTGATGACACATTGACAGTTAACAGAAAAAAGCCATCTTGCTTTCGCAAGGGGCGTATCACACAGGCACTTCAGTTGTTTTTGTTTGTTGGCTTTGTAGAGGGAGCAAATACTTACTTAGCTATTCTTTTTATCGAATCGCACCCCTTTGCTAGGTTAGACTGATGATCTCACGAGTTTTTATTAAACATTGTAAAATACGCCTAGGTGAGTTTGCTTATGGTTTGCTCAGTTGAGTGAAAATGTAGCGAACCTGCAGTGCCGTAGGAACAGTACCTCATTTCGAAAAATGTCATTAGTCTTATTATACTATAACTTGGAGCTTGAGCATAAATTTCTAAGATTTAACAGGATGAAATTTAAAATTAGGCTATATGCCAGAAAGCACTAATTGGACGAATCCCCCGAAGCTGATTCATGTGGGGACAGGAGGTCGGGAAACACGTGTCTGGACATTAAGCTAGTATCTGTCATTTTAGTGAATCATGCAACAATCGGGTTTCCTGCTTCACTTTTATGAAAGCGACCCCATGATTAAACAAGCCATCAGAACAGAAATTTGTTGGTTGCCTTCGCTACTTCATCCAGACTGATAGCAGAAACAGAGTCTGGCGACAAGCATTCCGTTCAACGGAATTATGAACTTAGATTTCGCATTTATGTTCCTCTGGAAGACACCCCTGTACCTAGAGCTGATCTCATGCTTCCTAATAATTTTTATGGAGCTTTATATTCCAATATTTGAATTCCCGCACATAATAAATTAACTTCGCCGCTAAGCAGCAGTCACCACTAAGTAATATGACTGCGTCAGGGATCTAGACTATTATGTCATCCTGTTCGGTGACGACATGAAATTGTGAAAAGTCGTTCACAATGCGACAGGCGGGGATCATCGCAAATAAGTTTAAACAGACTTAAGGAGTGGTCGGAGCGCTGACTTATGCCCTACAATGTAAGTAAGCGCAAACTTTCTTCCACTTGACAGTTGCAGAACCACCATCTCGAGAACTTACTTTCTAAACGGCTAATACTGCAAGAAGCTGACGGTCAGAAGGATTTGGGTACGGAGATTACATCTTCACCCATGCCAGCATTGAACTGCACGAAGGTGGACAAGTCGGCCTTGTTTATGTTGCAACTCATCAGGCGAGCCTTTGTGGGGTTTGGAAAAAAATAAGTTCTCCAAAATATTTTGAACCTTTGTGCCGTTGCATTTAGAACACGTCATACAGGCATGAGACCTTGGATCAACAAGGACTGTATCGACATAGGGAAGGTTCAGAGGCGGACGACAAAAGTGGCCAAAGGTCTGGGAACACCGCCCTAGGAAACCGGACTGTTAGCCCTAAACTCATAACTACAGACAACTGCGAGATTATCTCACGCCAACCTTTCGCATTATGAATGACCTGGGCTGTTGCTTTGTCGTCCGTTATGTTTTCCCTTTGCGTAGTCATCCTCTAACACTACGCATAGGTAAAGCAAAGACCAATGGACTCAAGTTCTTTCTTCAACAGCGGAGTGGTTGTAGCGTGAAAAACCCTGCCCACTGACAGTTTTCTCTCTTCCTGCGTGAATTCATTTGAGTGCACACTCGACACTTACCGAGCTACTCGCTCACTAGCTCCACACACACACAACTAATGACAGGACTTATATATGGGTATGCTACTTGCAGTATGTGAGTAGACGCCCATATTTGCTATGTTGTGACTAGCAGACAGCTGCTCGCTTATCCCATGCAATTATGCAAGCAAGCCCTTTTTTCGACTTTTATTAAATATCGATGCTTTCTTTGCATATTTTGCAACTACCACTGAGCTCGGAGGCGTTTACCTGCATTTCCTTTAATAAGACTAAACTGAACTGAACAACAAAGGTCGCGGTTGTACCAACTGTTATATTGAGCCCAAATCTATTTTAAACATGGACTAATGGAGTACGAAGTCAAAAACTACTTTATCAGGTGCAGTTTGAAGTTTCCTCGCCAGATAATGGAGCCTCAAGTAATCAAGTGACTTTGCGAAGTTTATTATGGTTCCAGGTATGGTCGTTCTGCATTTATTATATTACCTTCCAAAAACTTCGTTGCTTGAGATCTTGACCAGTCCTTGCTATAATCTTAGTAAGTAGGTGGGATAAGAGGTTATGCGAAACTTGTGCTGCAGCCAACCTTATCTTAGTTGTTGGAGTAGTTGTAAACATCTCGTAATTTAGTCAGTTGCAAGGCAAATTACTATCACACACAAAGCACTTCGGCGTTACTCGGCAATAGGAATGCAAAGTCCTCGCACCTAATGTCGGCTATAGTTATTCATAGAAAAGAACTGGTGGATTTGATAAAGTTCGCCTGCATAGCGGCGAAACTGACAGGGACTTCAAGTGATGAAGATATTTTTGCGTACCTTTACAGTTTTAAATGCACTTGTCAAAAAACATCAAGACCTAAACACATTAGGGGATAAAACTTGTCTTCTGATCTCCTTAGAACACGTGTTTTTCCCACAAAGCTAGGGTTTACACTTGGTCTCCTCTCCAGTGCACTATTACCCTGCTTGATGAAAAGCCTTTCGGATAGGCATACATTCATAACATCAGGTGGGTGTAATTTTGTTTACACTCAGTCTCATCCCCTGAGTAACTCGTTCCACCCCTTTTACAACACCCCCACTTGTGTACATTTCAAGCCATACGAAACTTTTAAGCTCGGATTATCTTAACAACTCCTGAACCACTGCATCTGGGGTTTTTAATGAGCCCGTCATCTTTGGGCAACTGTTTTCGTGTTGTTGAAAAGTCCGGCAACCGATGCCAACTATGCCAGTCATGATTGTTATAAGCAATAATTATCTTCTAGTGGCTGATGTGGTGGGCGTAGTTTGAGCACTACAGGAGTAAGGCCAAGTCTCCATTAGCAGGATGCCGCGGAAAACATCGAAACAGGCGGATTCATTATGGGCATAACCCTGAGTCGATGTCTCTGGCAGAAATGGAAGCTGGCGGTGTAGGGGGCGTTTGCTGAGGATGCCAAGTCGTGTCTGGGCAAACGTAAAATGTAGAATCAGCTGTTTTTATAACGAGTCAAAACTGGCCAGAAACTATTTGGTTATAGTGGTTTACATTGCCTCCTCATCGGCCCACTCCGTGAAGACGGAGAACGAAGACGCAGCCTAGTCGTCCCCGGCAAGTAAAAAGGACACACGACAACGCCCGTCGCGGTAGGCCAAGCCGGCTGGGAAATACACGCGTGAAATCAGACAGCCAGACAGCGTGCGCTGTTTTATCGAATACGAGTGAGGCCTTTGCTCACGGTTGTGACCCGTGACAGACATGACGTCATCCTCAGACTGTACAGAAGGTAAGACGGACATTCACGTAGGGAGAATCTTGCATTGTTCGCGTACTGTTAAAATACGCGGTTAAAACCATCACACAGTCATTGTCTATGTTCGTACATTCCAGGTAAATGACAACGCAAAAAGACGAGGCCACCTCTCCTATTCCTCCCGACCAATTAAATATATCTGCAGGGGATAGGAAAGGGCGCAGGTAGGATGGTTGTGGTTAGAACCATATCCCAGTAGCAAAAATGCCGTGTATATTTCAAAGTGAACACATCGGTCGTCTCTGCCACATGCTTCGCGCTAAGAATTCCGTCGTCAGGGCCTTCGGGCAAATGAAACACACGTGTACACGACCCCTTGAACGGCCAATAAGGGATATCTAACGATCCACTAAACACTTGCTCAATTTTTCAAGCTAACAGTGTCACCACACTAAACTTGGCTGTTCGAGGCCGTATTGTCCGTGTAGAGATACATCAGAACATGCCTTGGTTAAGTCGCTCGTCAATGTCTGGCCAGCATCAAATTGCTGTGCATAATATGTGCTCGCCATTGGTATCCTTTAATCTCCGATAAGTAGATAGAACCTGATTATTGTGGTAGCTAAGGTACTTACATTATCTGAGCCGCCATAAACTGTTGACTTGACATTTATCTCAAGACAGGACTATATCACATGCTAATAAGGTTGATTTTGACAAAATTTAGACAAGTGCTCTTGCTCAGCACGTGGGATAAAGATTGCTTAGTAGCACAGCTCATACCACGTGCTCAAGTGGGCGTGGCTGCGTTTTCTTCCCACGACGCCTGCGAAAGGCACTTCTGATTTGTCCAACCTGCCAGCCATGCATGCGCCTGGTGTATCCTTTGCATCAAAGGCCCGAACAATCGCAGGAGTTCTGACTGTGCGCTTTCATTTGCTGCCGGACTTAAAGCTGTTTTAAAAAATCTGATCTACAATACCAAAGCAATGTTGTTTAGACACCCTCCTTTAAGTAGCGATATAAGAGTAGCAACGTAATTAAAGAATCCTCTGTTTTCGTGTTGAAATTCATAACTTTTTCAGGGGAATATTTTAATTCATTTTGGTTGACAAAGGCGCACAGACGACGCAAAACCAACAGGGTTTCGTATCTGGCAGAGGTTTTATCAACCCAGTGGCAGCCCTATAACAAGTTCTGTGATGAATAAAATTCATATTTAACGGTGGATGATTGCCTATTTTACTAGTATTGGTGCGGTTTTCCACTTGGTTAAACATGACAATCATGAGCTTCACAGAGGACAATGGCACATTTCCGACGATCGCAAACTTTACTGAGACATATCCCAATCGCCGGTGAATGAGATGTTGAGTTTACTGTGAATATTAGCGAATACGCCATCGTTGAAGTTGACGAGATAACGGACTGCGCCCTCTGCCCTCCCTTCCTTAGCTGCGCAACACGATTACTGCACCCACGGAAATCTGAGACTTCGAATACGTTTGAAAAGTATAACGTTTTCTCGTTCCGGCCACAGATTACGTTGATCATGTTACCGTACATGGAAATTTCTTTAAACAGGTAAAATTAGTAAATAGTAAACGATCCTTTCAACTCACGCATTCGTCCGGGAAATGAGTTTAAAGCTGAAGAGAAGTCTGAGAAGCAGAATTCTGTCCAATTTACATCTCCTCTGTTATTGCGTGGACAAAGCCAGAAGAATGCAAATTACCAGATATACAAAATTCAGGTGATGCGCCCATTCCACCCCACAAGTAATTGTGATTGCCGTAGAAGTTTCGTCCAAAATAAGAGCTCGCTTGGGCGAGGCTATGGTCAAAGATACCCAGCACAGTGATTAAGAAGCCTGGATTTCACGCGTTGCTGACATTAGGGAGACAGAGGTGTTTGACAACGCCTTTCCAAAGGATGCTACGACGACAGCTCATTGACTAATCCTCTGGCTTTGAGACCCATCCGTAGTCGGGGCATTTTCTGCTGCGGTTGCAATAAACAGCTTTTATTTCAGTCAGTCTGGCCACGAAAACTTTCAACCCATAGGGAAGCTTGCCTGCGGCGCCATCTCTACAAAGTCTCTGTGAAGTTGTTGCCTCCGGAAAACGACATTCGTCGTATAAAATTAGCAAATGTGCACTCTAACTTAGTTAGGATGCTGACCCGACAGTCCACGATGTTCTCTAACGGAATTTTAACGGGAGGGCATTCGCTGAATGTCTGGACAGTGATCATCCGACATGAGCCGTTGTGTTCAATGATGTCGTGGGGAGGGGAACTGTCTAAAATAAGGTTTATGCCCACTGCCACACACACGATTATATGTTAATATGATACTTTTAAGATACTAGATAAAAGGACATGTGAACAGGAAATCTTTTTATAGGTCGAAAACTCCTAAAAAATCAACCTACACTTGAACGGCTTATGACTTCTTCGTCGTATGAGTACGCGTAGACCCCAAATGCCCCACTTCATTTACTGCCCTCATATGCTATGATAAAAAACACATTAATGTTCCCTGATCTACCGGTTTAAACTGGAACTTGTGTCAAAATCTTCCAACAATTACGTCAATTTGTCTAGGGATCCCCACCTCCAGTGTCATTTAATCCGTAATTAAATTGGCAAAATAAGGCAGATAGGAGATTTCTAGTCGACGTTTTCAACGTATCTGTTGACACCCTAATGGTAAACGTAAATCTTTTACTCGCTTGCATTTTTATAGAAGAGCATCATCATGTTTGAGTTCCCGTATACTCCTCTACGCCTTTACTGAACCTGCAAGGTTTCGTACAAACTTGAATCTCTTTCTTCTGTATTTACCCACAGTTTTTAAATTACTTGCGGCCTCCGCGTTTGTGACAGCCCTGACGTGGCGAAACGTTTTGGAACGCTGTAACGTCCCGTAACAAGGATCTCGATTAATTATGGGTCTCACAATATCTTCCCTCTTCCAGCGTTTTTTTGGCAAGAAGAATATGAGGATACTAATGGGTAAGTGGTCAGATTTTAGTCTTTATCTCGCCGACAGCTTCCTGGTTGTCTTAACTACTTGGCATAAATTAATTCACTAGCCCCTCTGTGTTTCACAGGCCAGTTGTTTGAAAGCTGAGTTTTGTATACTTATTTACCAGACCTGGAATCGCACGTTGGGCTATCAGAATGCGTTATGATTGCGGGTTTCTGTGTCCCTTTGGCTTTATCGCCCATTATGTTTTCCCTTCCATCCTACGGATTTTAATTTTAAAAGCCTATGGAGTTATATATATATATATAACTCTGTTTTCATAGTTAAGTCCCAGTTTGTCACGCATGTGATCCGCTGCGCTCAATGATCTAATTCTAAAGATTATAATATTGGCAGCTCTTCGCGTATACAAGCCACACTGCTGAAGCCAAACTAAGCTGAGATAACCCAGTAGGCCCATAGGCGCATTGTTGCTCGCTTAGTGAATTAGCAATTTCTGCCGCAAACTCACATTTATCATTGAGGGGATGTAGTATTTTACACTGACCCACCTGTGAAGAACTCGGCGCCTCGGTGGGATTCGAACCCACGACAGTAGAGGGAAGCCTGTAGTACAGCCAACTCTAACCACCTGAGCTACGAGGCCAAAACGTCAGTGAATGTAGTATTTGTCTAGCCGGCTTTTTTTACCAAGTGGCCACGTTTGAGGCTCATTATTGCGCATTACAGGAGCTGGTTTTGGCTGCTTTCCGTTACGGCTGATACTGTTCCTACGACATCTGTAGTTTTACTCTATCACAATCTTACTGTAAGTAGTATGCCTTTTCGTGTAGCCGAAAGTCCGCTTTTGTACAATTACCTTTTCTTGACGCACGCTTTGAAGGCAGAACGATGTTTTTCCGATATCAGGGTTGCTTGCTTACTGTCACCAGTGTTTTTGCTTTGGTAAGACGACTTTCTCAAGTTAATTTCACGAAACTGGCCATTATTGTTTCAGTTGGCTTGGATGCGGCCGGTAAAACAACCATTTTGTACAAGCTGAAACTCGGCGAAGTTGTCACCACCATTCCCACAATCGGATTCAATGTGGAGGCGGTTGAATACAACAACATCAGTTTCACTGTATGGGACGTCGGCGGTCAGGACAAGATCCGTCCTCTTTGGCGACATTACTTCCAGAATACCCAAGGTCTTATCTTCGTCGTTGACAGCAACGATCGCGAGCGGATTGGTGAGGCAGCCGATGAGCTGGACAAGATGCTCTCCGAAGACGAACTCCGTGATGCCGTCCTTCTTGTATTTGCTAACAAGCAAGATCTCCCGAACGCCATGCAGACGGCAGAAATAACGGATAAGCTCCGCCTTCACAGCCGTCAAAATCGGAGTGTAAGCCCTCTATATCTTCCGTGAATCTTCTATACTAAATATCTGTATTGCATGTGCCATCCGACCTGCCCTGACGTATCATTGACTCAGGAAATCTTTTTTAAAATCTACATCCTCATGACGTATTAGTTGAGTGAACGAACAGTTTGAACATCTGTTAATACCTGAGTCTAGCATCCTGCAGTCAGACAAACTCACATTTAATGTTGGCTACTATTTGGTCATAAACTTATATCAACCATCTTAGAAGGCATTAATTACAACATGAATGCCTGCTGCACGCATGAAGTCCAAGCTCCCAAATTTGGTCTTCGGAAAATTAAAATCCCAGGGATCGACTCACCTCGTCCTCTATCATAGCGACCCACGCGTCTCTTGTGGTAGACACGATGTGGGGATCTCCCTTTCGCAACAAGTGAACCATGCACTACATGCGTGGGAACCAATGACCAAACAACGTCTGTACAAGTGTAGAGATGCTCTCCCGGCATCTTTACCGTCTTCGTCTATGTATCAGTAGCAACCGCCGACCAGCGTAATAAACAGCCTTTCTCGATATAGCTGCAAGGATTGATTGGAGGACTCCCGATATTTTTCTGCTTGCTGCCTGGGAGCTGGAATAACCGAACAACGTCAGATGGTTCTTCAAGCAGTCGACTTATTGGCAACTTCGGGCCTAGATCTCAACGTAACAATTGTGGAAGAATGTCAATTTTTGCTGACCAGAATCAGCTGACCTCGTATTCAAATAATGGGCATGCGGCCAGTCAAATGGACTACGTTCTAGTCAGTTCACTGTTTCGTAGCTGGCTTCATAATAGCAGATCGGGCGTGATGTCGAAATCGGCACCGCCCATAGATCAGTCCATGTTTTGCTTCGCACACGCCGGAACGTTAATCTTATTCACGTGTACATTGCCACACGCAGGGTACTGTGGTGTGGGCAAATTACAACCCAGCACAACCGGTGCTTTGGGCGCAGAAATCAGTCACCAATTTACAACCCGAGTTGAAGTATAGACCAGTCACAAAAAGTCATCACTGAAATCCCGAATCCACAAGGCAACAGGGATCATTCTTGGATTTATGCAGCGACGCCACAGCAATTGGATCTAACCGAGAATCTTATAGTTGCCTGCCCAGACAGCTCTGGCTGAGTGCCACCATGATGATTCATCTTGCCAAACCTGAAAAACGACAACAAAGTCGGCTATTGGGCTGAAGTGACGGCCTCCACGACTCAGATCTCCGACATTGGTGACACTCGAAAACTATTCGCCAAGTTAGTGCTAGCTCTTGCACACTAAAAATTTCACGATGTGAGTGGCGGTTTTTTTGCTGGTAGCTTTGGCAGGGCCGAGCGTCAGTCTGACCACTTCGAACAGCTTCTCGACTTGTATCGTCTAGCCAGCATTTCCCTGTTTCCTCTACAGCGCCATCCCGGCTTACGTTCCTAAACTTTGTGTTGAGTAGGCGTTGGATTAGTTATTTTCTGACAACCAAGGCTCGCCCACCCTTGTTCATGTTTTCAAGAGAAACTACTAGAACAAGTCTCCTCGATTTTGCGGCGAAAGCCCTTACCACGGTCATTCTCAAGCGATTTTGGTGTCTGTGCCTCTAGGACTAGGTCTAACAAGCTCAGTTCCAATCTCGGAATGTATGCGTAGTGAATTCTTAAATTTTGCCAGGACTTTCACCGACCGAAGGCTGCGTACTTTGTTGACTTCGCCGTAGCGTTCGATTCCGTCCATCTTGAGTTCCAGCGACAGTATGCCGACAAAAAATTGCTGTGACTTAGGCGTGCTGTCATTGTCCCTGTGATTTCGGATTTAACATAACCTTTAAAAGAAGACGAAGGGACGATCACTGGGACAGTATATTTATTTGTCTGAGCTTTCGAACTCGAACTGGAGTTCGTCATCAGAGATTGCTTGAGTGCAGCAACTTGGTAAAATTTATATCGTTCTTCCTTGCGGGGGAGGGGGGGGGAGGAGGGGAGTACGCCCGTGGCTAGGCAAGGTTTGTGCCGCCTGGTCCACGATGGTCCCCCGGCGTGGTGAGGCCGTTTGTACTTTGCGACGGCGTGAGCTGCGCCACCTGGCTGCGTGGGCGGAGCGCGTGATAACACGCAGGCAAATCGATGTGCCTGTTGATGAAGTTGGTGTCCGACACCCACGCCTCCAACCTTGCCTAGCCACGGGCGTACTCCCCTCCTCCCCCCCCCTCCCCCGCAAGGAAGAACGATATAAATTTTAACAAGTTGCTGCACTCAAGCAATCTCTGATGATGAACTCCAGTTCGAGTTCGAAAGCTCAGACAAATAAATATACTGTCCCAGTGATCGTCCCTTCGTCTTCTTTTAAACAAGAACCTGGGATGCGCATATTCTCTTCTATTCGTTAACATAACCTCTTAGCCGTTGGGCATTCGGCCTAGCGTTCGACAAGATTTCATTCTGTCGCCCGTCCTGTTCAATCACATTGTGAACTGCATTCTCGGAAGTGTCTACATTGTTTTGATCGTGGCAACTGTACGCTCGCGTGCCAAATGGCTGAACTCGACCATGCTGATAATATCGCTCCGTTACTGTTGTGATGACCTACAGAACGTAGTGTCACGGGTGAACGAGGTAATCAAATCAGTTGGCGTATCTGGAAACGCAGGGAAGACCGAAGGTTTTTTGAGCTGCATTGCTGATTATCAGAAGGCACGCCTGAGGGCTTGTGTTAAGTCGGGAAACTGAGCACTTTTAAATCCATCAGGGCGGGGACGATATTGTCTGCCAAATCGATGTTGCCATCAGGGTTTTCGAAATTCTTCAAAAATGTCTGTGTACCCGACGCGTTATCCCGACGACGACAAACAGCCGCGTGCACCGGCCATCCGTCCAGTCAGTTTTCCTATACAGTTGTGAATGCCGGGCTGCACGCCTGAAGGAGGAGCGGAAACTGGAGGTATTTATTAACCGTCGATTGAGAAACCATCTGTCAAGTGAAGTTTACTGACTTTTTGACTGGGACAACCCGAACTCGCCCCCACACCATCGCGAAGGTATCTCAGGCCTCAGAAGTTCACTGTTGTTACTCTCGGGTTAGCGTCACTGCCCACATAGAGGCGTCGAAGAGGTCGACTCAAAACCTGCCTAAAAGAGTCCAATTAAGACGTAGAGGCGGTTCTTAGAACTTCGGTATTCGGTCTCTGCTGTTGGAGAAGAGATTGCGTCGAGCCCTCGAGATCCGCCACCGCATATCGTTAGGCATGAAGTGCATTCCGCCGCATCGCCGAGGCCGGTTAGATCAAACATAACTAGAAGTAGATTAAGGACACTCGTCAGTCCGTCATCACCTAACTCATTTTCGACCATTCATCTCATGTCAGTTTGTGGAACCACTTCGTTTTCCAGTATTCTAAACCAGCGTCCCAATGGATACGTGATTAATAATACCAAAACTTGTGTTTCTACTAATGAGGCATATGATTTTGGGTGAGGCTGAAGGCCAGGTGTTCAGATGGGGTCCCGTTTTCTTAAAGTGATCTTTAACTTTTCGACTGTAGTTGCGACCTACGTTTTAGGTTGTTGACTGCAGTTGCTTATGGTTTGATTTTGATTCCTTCGACGTAGAATACACGAAGCAGCTGTGCGTGCCAATCTTGCCCCGACACCATTTATTTACTTTGTTTGTACCTTTGCCTATTTATAGTCACTCTACTTTCTTCTCATATTAGTGAAGTCCTCGACTTCCACCACTAATATCAAAAACCAGTGTTTTTCTGGCATTTTGACCGTCTGTAAACTAACATTTGGAATTTTGTTGGCCTGCTGTCTTCCCATTATTCTCATACGACCGCATTTGCTCTATTTGTAGTACGTGCTAGCAATTGTTGCTCTAACGCGTAGTTGCGTTATGAATCACTGTAAGTACGAAATAACGTAACCACAGACCTAAGTACTCCAAGCAAAGGCATGCGGACTCAATAAACAATTAATAAAGATTGTAATTAGTAGGCCTTGGACTATGACTGCACAGAATACAGTCTGAGCTCGCGTCTTGGCTGACTGCATTACCGATTATCTAGGCGAGGGGACAGTTCCACCAAACCTTGACTGTCGTCTCCCTCGAACTAGATCTTGTTTGAGTAAACAAGGACCGGCCCAACTAGCGACAACAATGAGGGCAAGCTGTTTGATAACAACGGTCGCCCCAGCCGACATGCGTGGCTTCTACATGCTGTTCATGATGTCCATCGCTGAGAAATACTACGGAACCACGGGTATTTTACTTCCTAATGCACTTGGAATGACTCTCTTACGTGATTGAACTGGCTCTGCTACATACGCAACATCTGTCGAATGGTCGCCAAGACCAAGCTGAGACAGCAACCCAGTCGCGCACACCTTAGACCGTAGGTGGGCGATGCACTGGGGGTCAGTCCCCGCCACAGTTGACCACTCAGGTGCCGTCGCCAGCTAAGGAAGGCTCCAACGAAATTATATTCTGGGTGATTTCGCCGTTCAGGCCTGCGCGACACAGCTAAATACTTTAAGGTAGCGAGAAGAGAGGATGCAGGCAATCGTTTATGTTCGTCAACGACTGTATGGCCTTTTTGGAGACACGACCAGAAACTAATTAAGGGGACGGGTCGCAAACATCATCTGTCAAATACATCCAAGCCGATGATATCTTATGATCGCGCATACCTTGTTTCATAGCCATGCTGGAAGTCTGTCTCGACGGGGGCTCCGTACACAAGTAACCTAGCCTTCCAATTGTCCTCACGTCTACTCTGCAAGTTTCCAAGAATTTGTACAAAGGTCGTGTCTACTTGATTGCGTCGACTGTCGATCTCACTCTTTCCTTGCCTCTTCGACAGAAGGTCCCGTATGTGATAGGAGCTGTCCATCAGCCCAAAAGTTTCACTGCGCCCTGTAATTGGGCAGATGTTTCTGGCCACTAAACCTGAGACGACCTGCTCTGTTTCAAAAGAACCAACTTGAAGACTCACGTCGGCCGAGTTTGCACTTGTCTAGGACGCAGCAGCTTACATTTCTGCAGGGAAGCTCACTAGTCCCAGCATTATCAGCATGGTCAAGATTCGTAATTAAAGGGTTACGGGCTCTGTACCACCGAGGTGGTCGTCTGGTGTGTGTGTTGAATAATGCAGTATATTAAGTAGTTAAACAGACTTGGTGAAAAAACGCAACCCCGACGGATCCCAAAAGGGACATCAAGCTTGTCACACGGACTCATAGATATGGACTTTGAGTCTGTTTCTGGGATTGTAGGTCTGCATCAATCGGAGCTATTTCGATGTCATGCTATTATACAGTATGGCTTCTGCAGGATAGCCCAATAGTCAGAGTAAAGTGCAGGTGTCAAAACCACGAAACACGAGAGTGAACTGTTCGCAGCACTGGGTTTGAAGAAGACAGAGTGTTATTCGACATATTCCCTGCCTTTCCTGGACGATTTTTCCAGTGGATTGAGGGCAACAATAAAGAGTTGTATCAGCGTCAAGAATAATTAGGCAAGGGTAGTTCCTTGGAAATTGTCCGTCACCATGAAGATCAGCAAATGACAGCTTTGTTGCACCTCGTGGGGACAACGTCTGCTTCCCAAATTTGGTTTTCAAAGTTTATATGGCCCGTTAAACGGCACTTGCAGCTTTGATCTGACAGTTCTTGTCAGATAGCTTGCTTTTCTTTAATTTTCTTATCGTCTCCGGGACCACGGTCGGCAGTGAGTTGCAGCTACAGTCATACTCGGACGCGTGAGCTTCCCCAGTTGTACAGTAACCGTGTGATCGGGACACTTTCGAGATCTCGGACAGTTTCCTTTCGCGCATTTGCCTGGAAGAGCGTGTGGTCACACGATGCCCATCCATGAAACCAAAGTGCTCACAATGGCCAACAGCCCTCGAACCGTCGGATCTTTTCCCCATATTGACACAACAGTGAAAAAATTGGCGCCTCAATGGGATTCGAACCCACGACACCAAGAGGAAGGCTTTAGTACAGCCAACGCTCTAGCCACTTGAGCTACGAGGCAGGTGTGATTAAACTCACGCCTTCCGGTGGGGTCTCGTAGCTTAGATAGCTAGAGCTTTAACTGTGTCCGCAGTGTCAGTGTTCTCGGAGTCTCACTGAGCTGCATCAATGTTCTCTGTCAAGTATGTGGTGGTCCTACTTTCGAGTGTGATCGCCACTAGGTATTTATAATCAGTAAACTGTCGAAGGAAAGGGGACTGACAAGCCCTTCATAATTCACAAAACGGCTCTCCCATTGCGTTGTAACCGAGGTCTCGCCTCATGCATGTATTAAACTCCCCCGTCATGACATTCTTTCCTCCCCCAACAACAAGAATTTCAAATAGCGACACCTGACAGAAATCCAAAACTTGTCATAAGGACCTTTTTTGCGTATCATCCTTATCCATCGTCGGAGCATAGACTGTAAGACCTGTGTCGTAATAAAGACACAGATGGAATCATTGATTCCAAGTGAGGAAATTATGTTTTGATCGGATCACGCAAGACGATGGTGATATGCTGGCAAGAGGCCTCAGTGACATCAGTGAGGTAGAAGTAGCAGGATTTTATAGGGATTTCTCAGTGCCCGGCTCATTCATACCGAGATCTGACGAGTACACCCCAAGAAACAGACAATGTCCTCGTGGTATTGCGTCAATGCTTGCATGGTTGGGCATTGCGCTGCCGGTGCAAAAAGAGTTTCCATGTTTCAGTATGTCATGAACGGTTTCTTCCTTCCGGCTGCCGCGGACATCGTAGCCGGAGTCGAGACTTGCGACTGCCGAAGTGATGGTAAATAGAGATTTGGTGCGAGTGGGATTTTCTAGTCCTCAGCATTTCCTTCAGATGAATTTCCAGGTGGTGAAACAACGGGAAGGCTTCTGGCACTGTCGCTGCTGGTCTGCGACTGTTTGTTCGCTAGGCCGAGGAATTTTCCTTGTTCACAATTTATTGTCACCAAAGACCCTCCTACTATCAGTCACTGGTGGTTGCACCGACTAACCGACCAGCTAGGTCAGAAGGCGGACACGTCTTCCCCGGGCTTTTTCTTATCACGAATGTTGTTACCCTTTTTAACGTCAGCCGAACATGTCACCGTTTTAAAGCTGACTAAGTTTAGTTGTAGAAACGGTTGTCGACTTAATCAGCGCGCCTAAATCCACTAAAATCAAATATTTTCCTGCTCGCTTAGTTATCCCCTGCCCTTAAAAAAGTATTTGTCATTTTCGCTCTATTTGTGCTAGCATACCCCTTCAACTAAGTAATTAATCCTGTGCCGTGTCTGATTGTACATTTTCACCATGTAGCCGTAGTTTCATCTAACATTTGTACCTTAAAACCTTAGTAGCGGCTGCTGGCGCTGAAAACTTGTCTTATTTTTTCGAGTATCCGAGGTTTAACTTCTTTTCAGCAACAGATTGGTGGCCACTTTATCGACTCAGGCATTCGCGAAATTCAATCGTAATAAGGAGGCCAAAGGCGTTTTTCTCCTAAACTCATCGCTTTAACTTCGGTTTGATACGTTCAAAAGCTTTTACGTCCGTCACCCTTCTCTCCTCAAAAATGGAATCGTGCCTTTATCTGTTCTCAATGTTTCTAATTTTAGTGGTATGTCCAAGGTTCGTGCGCAACTGAGGGAACTGGATTATACGATGGTCTGGATTGGCTCTCCCGGGAATTATCAAAACGGTCTTAGACTCACTCGCATGTCGCCCCTGTTTGACTACCGGAACCAACTTGTTTCGCATCCACACTGTCACAAACACAAACACTCAACTGTTGTTGGTTTTTTTCTACTGTTATGCCACTGACTCCATCAAACATCTCCCATTTCCCCGATCTTCAACGCGCACTTGCTCGCATGCATACATCACCTCATTAACAGTGTTTCACATTCCAGTCCACCCTTGCCTGTTAAGAACTCTCTGCTCCCTATAGGGCTGTTGCCTCGCGGGTGGTGAGGCGGCGGCGGCGGCAACAACCACACATGCACTCTAGAAACGGTGTGGCACTCGCAGATGTTTGCATGTGTATTTGATTGGCCACTCCAGTCGCTTTGTAAAATAGGCTGTTCAGTCTCATCTCACTTTCTCCTATCTCTTCTCTACATATATTTGACCTCGTACCTGGTTGCTTTGGTGAAAATAAACTCCTAATTTCCCTTCATTGTCCGTCATTTTCGTGGTACTGTGGAGGTGTATCGTCAAAATAGTTGTCATCACTAGCGTCATCGTGGTGGTTGCTAACCCAAGACCTGAACGCCGTCAAGGTGATTCATGCCTCAGCTCATACTCTTGCTCAGGCCGGCTCTCACAGCGTAGATGCTGGGTCTCCGTCGAGCCAGTACAGGTGGCTTGCTCAAAGCAAGTTTTATAGCTTTTTTGAAACTGCCTATGGGCCTGCCGTCAAAAGGCTTAGAGTTGGTCACACTTTGGCTGTTGAAGCCATCCCATCGCCAGAAACTTGAGCAAAATACATAGATTTGTCATTAGGTTTGCATAGTGAGTGAGGCATCCTACGTATAACGGTTTGAACAGATTCTGGCAGCCGAATATGGGGACTTCAGGCCGTCTTCTCGGAGCTAGTGAGGGAGAGGGGTGCGGGCAGACTTATCTGGGAGCAAGGCAGCCTGTGGGGTTTCCGTGTGGTGTGGTTTACGTTGTCTCCCTTGACTAGATCATCGGGTGTTTCATCTGCAAGCTGAATCCTTGTGGCAAAACTCATCCCCTAGGCTCTGTTCCCGGTTCGTGGGTGGAGTCATGGGTTGGCTGTCTTAGTAGACGTCTTTGTCGAGTTTCTGCTGGATGCCAGCTCTCGGGCTAGCTTGTCATTCGGTGCGCACGGCCGAGACTAATGTTCACGAGGATGGCTCCGTAAGAACGTTCCTCCGAACACGACGCAAAAGCCTCAGGCAGCATCGGCAGTCTGCGACTTCGTCGTATCCATGCATACTTTCTTCCGGGTCATCGCACTTTCTTGCCATCTACTACCACCTCAAATATTTCGGTTATGGCGCTCCTCCACTTTGACTGATTTTCAGTTCGATCTCTTCTATCCCAGAGCATCAGCGGAACGACATTTGGATTATTGTAGATTAGGCAGTGCCGCACCACGTCTGGTCAGTGCCGAATAATGGTTTGCCCTCTGTCTCAGAGCAGTTTTTGCTGAGCGATAGTTTCGCATGTGTTGGATTAGTCTACGAAAATGCCTCTGATTGATCGTCCTACCGTTGTACTCACTTCTGAAGACCGCATGTCCCTGCTTAATGTGCCTAAGAGAAGTGTGGAACTACTCTCCTGTTGCGATAAGCAGTGTAGTTCGTCAGTAATCGGTGTTCGAAGCTAGCTGCGGGGGAAGGGGGGGGAGGGGCAAAATCGTCAGCAACCGGAGCCTGCCATACAACGAACCCAGGTTAACTTATGCGAAGCCGGCAAGTGAGGTGCGTCTAGTGATGTCATCCAATACAAGCATCGCAGCAGCCTGCGCATTTCACTCGGGGGATGAGAGCTCTTTGCTACTCAAAAGGAGGATGGCTTAGCCCGTGGCCCTTGTTATTGCAGCAGAGTCACATTGTCGATGTCTATTTGGGGAGAATGCCCTCGGCTGTGATTTTCATGCTAGGTCAGAGCTATATGTGTGTGTTTGTCACGCACGAAGAGCCCTTGTGAATTCCAAGCTGAGAGGACTGACCGTTTAGTTTATGCCTAATGGACCACAAGACAATGAACTGTGGCCCGATCCATAGAAGCGAGTGAATGGGTTATTACGCATCGATCTGGCCTGCAACAGTAGTCGGTCTTTGCCCCCCCCCCCCAAACATAGGAGGGAAGAGTTTGTGAAGAATACACGTAAGTCCTCTGCAGGGAGAGCACCCACTATAGTTGTCTTTAGACGTCGCGAACACCTAGCTGCCCGGCTAGGTAGAGGTGAAAATAGATCGATTTGGGGTTCCATTCTCACACGGTTAGTCCATGCGAATCACCGAGTCGATGCCAAATATGTCTTTCAAGTTGTCGACCGGGCACCAGCAAACTTTTTAAAGTGCCTATACCGACAAGTACTAGCAACAGCCGTGGCAGTGGCTGTTCGGCTAGCGCGTTCAGTGCTTCATTGTTGAAAGACGTCAGTGCAATCGCTCCGTCTCCCGTGGCCAACGCCGACCCTAGGTGATGATCTCGCGCCACTCCAACCCCCCAATGACAGTCACGCGCGCCCCGCGTGATCATCCTACGGACGTCGCTCACACCCTACCTCCATCCCTCTCCGCCAGCCCCAATGACCCCAATACGGCGAACTCGCCACGCGGGCGGCGTGGGGACGAGGCGTCTGACTAACCTGATACGCTTGTTAGCCCTGTCCATGACTCATAATTTCATTCTCCATGTAATTGTATCGGCCTGATGATGGATTACTGTAAACACGAGTTTGTCAAAATTTATGTCAAAGTAAATAATCCTACTATATTTAAAACAGTAGAATTTCGTAATTAATATAGCTACAAATCCGGTTACAGGTGCACTTGAGGGTTATGGGTGGCTCGACAGCCGACGCGGGCGCAGTCGCGCGCGTCACACGCTCCGTTCACCTCTTGCTTGCAACTTATGCAGCCAATCAGGGAATGTAGGAAGTCACACCCCACCAATAAGGTCGCTCGCTTGCAGCTTATCCCTGCCAGTGGATGTTAGTCTTCCAATCAGCCTCATTAGTTCGATTGCGTAAGCAAGCCTCTCCAACGTCCTCCTCCGCCTTGCTCGCCTTCTTACATATAATAGCATCTCACCCCACGTAGTCTTTACGACTCCTCCAAGCTAAACCTCACAGAGAGTAACGAAGCAGTTGCTGCTGCCGTCGTTATAACCCCTGTAAAGCTCCATCCCTACTGAGTGCAAAGACAGACCGGCTGGTCGCTATGACGACCTGCTTCAAGGATTCGAGCGATAATTCAGTTAGTATAAGCTGATTATCCCAGCCATCAGCTTAACCTACAGATGTACACTGCCCTCGAGCCCATTAATGATCAACCGAAATCATCACAGCATTCATCTGACCCTAAGAACACAATTTATCTGCGAGATTTCGGGATGAAGAGCGGAATAGGAGTGTCTAATGAAAAACAGTTACTCGTTGAACCGGTCAGCCAGTCCGACAATGTATATTCAGACACACCCACAACTGCAGTCATCCCAATGCACAATCACTCTTCTGGGACCAATCAGGTGACGTCTGCGCCCGATGACCCTGGGGACGTCGACAAGGTTGCAGTGGGTGTGGCTGAAGTGAGCGCGAGGGGAAAGAAGATGCCGATTGAAAAAACGCAGCGACACGCGTTTGCAGATGGTTCAGTGGGCGGACCGAAGTCACTGACTTCAAGAGAACTGGACTCAGTTCTTTTTAACACAGTAGATAGCGACATGGGAGAGTCAACTGGCATTCGAGTCCGCAGGCCGAAGAGGCGCTGGAGGCTGACGCGGTGCGAGGGTGTCCTCCTGACAATTATTGGCCTTCTCGTTGCCATTCTCCTTCTTTTGCTATTTTCGGCCTTCAGAAAGCCACCAACAGGTGAGTTCACCGCTGCCCTATTGTTAAGTTATTCGTATTCATTTAAACAGCGTAAATGTAGACAACCCTGTACCTCACCCGTGTTAGTTGTGTATTATGCAGACCAAATTAGTGAATCAATTTTTTTTAGAAAATACTAATGAAGAAACCGGGTACTATGAAGTGATTTTGCCTACCTTTATCTGGGGAAGCTGATTGGGGACTTTACATGAAATCCATGTTCATTTCGTGTCACATTAGACGGATGTTTTCTCATGTGCTCAGACGTTCCTGTTCTTATTTCCAAAATTATACCCTCAGAATTCGCGTTTAGTAAACAGGGCAGACAACGTCAATACTTCTCCACTTCTCGTTCTACTGGTTAGAGAAGTATTGGCTGTTTTGCGAAGAGTGGTTTAGGTAGAATTAGGAAGCCTATTCATGTCAAAATAGTCGTCAGTCTTTACAAGTAGTGCATTTTCCACCTTACGAAAAAGCTTCTTCACTATATTTGATTCATAGATGAAAAACTGATATTTTTAGAATTCCAGAAATGCGCTGGCCTCACAAGTCCTATAGCGTGACGTCCTTTCTCAACTACTTGCTAAGGCTCTTATTCCAGTCTGGGAAAGTTTCCGTGTGAGGGAAGACATACACTCCTATAGGCTATTAAGAAGATGTCATATACTCATCACAAGATCACACAGTAGATGTGGATCGTGTTGTATAAATTATAAGTCGCATTACTAAATTGACAGTACGGTGCTTTATGAATGGGCAGTCCATGGTCTTAAGAAATCCCATAATTAAAGGTCCATTTTAAAACAGAAAAATACCCTCAGTATAAGTGTAAAATTTAAAGGTTTGCTACCAAATGAACCCGAGTAGGGATATTTTTGTGCGCGTTTTCAATTACATATACTTGAATTTATAAGATCATCGATAATAAGCGGCCAAAACTCATGCAATTTTTGCAGTAATTTTTTACAGAGTGCAGTTATTGCAAGCGGTCGGAAAAACTGCTTTCAAAAGCCGGCTCCCTGACATGACTGAAATATCTCGGGATTTGGTAACACAAGAATGAATCTTACAACCCTATTTACCTAATCTATTCGAATCAAAAACATTTCGGAATTTTGGGCCAACACTTCACAAGAT